ATTGGGGACACTGTGGGTGTTTGGGACATTGGGGACATTGGGGACACTGGGTGTGTGCAGTGGTACTCGGTGACCTTGTCCAGGAGATCGTGGGGAATGCCACCGCCACGGTCCGAGATCCTGGGGACATTGGGGACATTGGGGACATTGGGGACATCTGAGAGATTGGGGACATTGGGGACATTGGGGACATTGGGGGTGTTTGGGGTGTTTGGGACATTGGGGACATTGGGGACACTGGGGACACTGGGTGTGTGCAGTGGTACTCGGTGACCTTGTCCAGGAGATCGTGGGGAATGCCACCGCCACGGTCCGAGATCCTGGGGACAGAGGGGACATCTGAGAGATTGGGGACATTGGGGACATCCAGGGGATTGGGGACATTGGGGACATTGGGGACATTGGGGACATTGGGGCCATTGGGGACACTGGGTGTGTGCAGTGGTACTCGGTGACCTTGTCCAGGAGATCGTGGGGAATGCCACCACCCCGGTCCGAGATCCTGGGGGGACACATTTGGGGACATTGGGGACATTGGGGACACTTTGGGGACATTTGGGACACTGGTGACACTGGGTTACCTGATGACGAGGTCGATGTCGTTGTTGGCGATGGACATTGGGGACATTGGGGGGACATTGGGGACATTGGGGACACTGGGCACATTTGGGGACATTGGTGACACTCTGTTACCTGATGACGAGGTCGATGTCGTTGTTGGCGATGGACATTGGGGACATTGGGGACATTGGTGACAGTTCAGTGACACTGGGTTACCTGATGACCAGGTCGATGTCATTGTTGGCGATGGACATTGGGGACATTGGGGACATTTGGGGACACTCGGGGACAGTTCAGGGACACATTGGGGACATTGGTGACATTGGTGACCCTATACTTGATAACAAGGTCGATGTCGTTGTTGGCGATGGACACTGGGGACATTGGGGACATTGGTGACATTGGTGACATTGGTGACATTGGGGACATTTGGTGTCCCCGTACCTGATAACAAGGTCGATGTCGTTGTTGGCGATGGACATTGGAGACATTGAGGACACTTTGGGGACATTTGGTGACAGTTCAGTGACACCGTTACCGTATGACCAGGTCGATGTCGTTGTTGGCGATGGACGTTGGGGACACTTTGGGGACAGTTCAGGGACATTGGGGGGACATTTGGGGACATGGTGACACCATTACCTGATGACCAGGTCGATGTCGTTGTTGGCGATGGACATTGGGGACATTGGGGACATTGTGGGGACATTGGGGACACTTTGGGGACATTGGGGACACTTTGGGGACACTGATGACCCCGTACCTGATGACGAGGTCGATGTCGTTGTTGGCAATGGACATTGGGGACATTGGGGACATTGGGGACAGTTCAGGGACATTGGTGACAGTTCAGTGACCCCGTACCTGATGACGAGGTCGATGTCGTTGTTGGCGATGGATATTGGGGACATTTGGGGACAGTTCAGGGACACATTGGGGGACATTGGGGACACTTTGGGGACATTTGGGGACATTGGTGACACTTTGGTGACACTGTACCTGATGACGAGGTCGATGTTGTTGTTGGCGATGGTCATTGGGGACATTGGGGACATTGGGGACATTTGGGGACATTGGGGACATTGGGGACACTTTGGTGACCCTGTTACCTGATGACCAGGTCGATGTCGTTGTTGGCGATGGACATTGGGGACATTGGGGACATTTGGGGACACTTTGGGGACAGTTTGGGGACATTGGTGACACTCAGGGGACATTGGGGACATTGGGGACACTTTGGGGACAGTTTGGGGACATTGGTGACACTCAGGGGACATTGGGGACATTGGGGACAGTTTGGTGACCCTGGTGACACTCTGTTACCTGATCACAAGGTCGATGTCGTTGTTGGCGATGGTCATTGGGGACAGTTCAGGGACATTGGGGACATTTGGGGACATTGGGGACATTGGTGACAGTTCAGTGACACTCTGTTACTGTACCTGATGACCAGGTCGATGTCGTTGTTGGCGATGGACAGTGGGGACACTGGGGGACATTGGGGACATCCAGGGGATTGGGGACATTGGGGACATTGGGGACATTGGGGACACTGGGTTACCTGATCACAAGGTCGATGTCGTTGTTGGCGATGGACATTGGGGGACATTGGGGACACTTTGGGGACATTGGGGACACTTTGGGGACATTGGTGACATTTGGGGACACCGTTACCTGATCACAAGGTCGATGTCGTTGTTGGCGATGGACATTGGGGACATTGGGGGGACATTGGGGACAGTTTGGTGACACTGGTGACATTGGGTTACCTGATGACCAGGTCGATGTCGTTGTTGGCGATGGACATTGGGGACATTGGGGACATTTGGGGACATTGGGGACATTTGGTGACCCTGGTGACACTCTGTTACCGTATGACGAGGTCGATGTCGTTGTTGGCGATGGTCATTGGGGACATTGGGGACATTGTGGGGACACTGGGGACACTTTGGGGACATTGGGGACATTGGGGACATGGTGACACAGGTGACCCCGTACCTGATGACCAGGTCGATGTCGTTGTTGGCGATGGACATTGGGGACATTGGGGACATTTGGTGACATTGGTGACCCTGGTGACACCATTACCTGATGACCAGGTCGATGTCGTTGTTGGCGATGGACATTGGGGACATTGGGGACATTGGGGACATTGGGGACATTTGGGGACATTTGGGGACATTTCAGTGACACCATTACCGTATGACGAGGTCGATGTCGTTGTTGGCGATGGGGACAGTTTGGGGACAGTTTGGGGACATTTGGGGACACAGGTGACACGGTACCGTATGACGAGGTCGATGTCGTTGTTGGCGATGGTCACCACGATGTCGGGGACATTGTACGGGGTGTCCAGGTGCGACTCCATGGTGGCCCTGGGCGGGGACACGGGGTGGGGTCACCCGGGGTCACACAGGGGTCACCACGGGGTCAGCTCAGGGGTCACCCAAGGGTCACCAGGGACCCCAAAATGGCACTGATGTCACCCCAAAATGTCATTGGGGAACCCCAAAATGTCACTGATGTCACCCAAAATGTCACCCCAGGACCCCAAAATGTCACCAAGGTCACCCCAGGGTCATTGGGGACCCCAAAATGGCACCCCAGGACCCCAAAACGTCACCAGAGTCACCTCAGGGTCACCGGGGACCCCAAAATGCCACCAAGGTCACCCCAGGACCCCAAAATGTCATCAAGGACCCCAAAATGTCATTGGGGAACCCCAAAATGTCATTGGGGACCCAAAAATGTCACCCCAAATGTCACTGATGTCACCCCAAAATGTCATTGAGGACCCCAAAAATGTCACCAGGGACACCCCAGGACCCCAAAATGTCACTGGGGACCCCAAAATGTCACCCCAGGACCCCAAAATGTCACCAAAGTCACCCCAAATGTCATCAGGGGCCTCAAAATGTCACCAGGGTCACCCCAAATGTCACCAAGGTCACACCGGGGTCATCAGGGCCCCCCAAAATGTCACCCCAGGGCCCCAAAATGTCACCAAGGTCACCCCAAATGTCACTGATGTCACCCCAAAATGTCATTGGAGACCCCAAAAATGTCACCAAGGTCACCCCAGGACCCCAAAATGTCATTGGGGACCCCAAAATGTCACCAATGTCACCCAAAATGTCACCTCAGAAACCCCAAAATGTCATTGGGGATCCCAAAATGTCACCAAGGTCACACCGGGGTCATCAGGAACCCCCAAAATGTCACCCCAGGACCCCAAAATGTCATTGGGGACCTGAAAATGTCATTGGGGCCCCCAAAATGTCACCAAGGTCACACCAGGGTCATCAGGGACCCCAAAATGTCACCCCAGGACCCCAAAATGTCATTGGGGACCTGAAAATGTCATTGGGGACCCCAAAATGCCACCAAGGTCACCCCAGGGACCCCAAAACATCATTGGGGACCCCAAAATGTCACCAAAGTCACCCCAAATGTCACCAGGGTCACACTAGGGTCATCAAGGACCCCAAAATGTCACCAAGGACCCCAAAATGTCATCAAGGACCCCAAAATGTCACCCCAAATGTCACTGAGATCACCCCAAAATGTCATTGGGGACCCCAAAAATGTCACCAGGGACACCCCAGAGACCCCAAAATGTCATCAAGGACCCCAAAATGTCATTGGGGACCCCAAATGTCACCAAGGTCACCCGAAAATGTCACCAGGGTCACACCAGGGTCATCAAGGATCCCCCAAATGTCACCCCAGGAGCCAAAAATTGCCCCAAAATCACCCAAAAAACTCCCCTGAAAACCACCCCAAAATCGCCACAAATCCCCCTAAAATCAAACCAAAATCGCTAATAAATTCCCCCCAAAAAATCCCCAAAAATCCCCAAAATGTCCCAAAATCCCCTGACAGTCACGCTTAATACCCCCCAAAATTCTCCAAAATCCCCAGAATTTCTCCCAAATTTTCCCAAAATGTCCCAAAATCCCAGGATTTTCCCCAAAACCCCTCCCTGGTACCTCATGGCGTTCTTGAGCATCCAAACCCCCTCCAAATTTCCCTAAAATCACCCCAAAGTCGCTAATAAATTCCCTAAAAT